CTCCACACAGCTGTGCCCTTGAAGATACGAAAAGAACAGGATAGACCAAAAACGCGTCACTCTCAGACGGCCCTTTGTCTTGGCCGTGTGACTAAGTTGAACAGAGGCAGAGTGGAAAAATACCAGCTTCTTCTTCTTAGTGGAAATGTACAGGTTGAAGGCTAATACAGTGCATTTGCATAACAAAGCTTAGTGTTAAGAACTATTACATTAATTATTCATTACATTGTTTTCTGCTATAAAAGCTTAAAGAGGTTTATACAGGGTTTTTTCCCTCACAGCACCACCTCCTTCAAAATATAGATACAAATAGGGCAGGTTTCCAGGAAACAGATTAGGCATAGTCCTGTACTAAAAAGCACTTCAAATGGAGAAACTCCATTGCACATGCTTCTTAATCCAGGAATAAACTGTAGTATCGAGTAAAAGTTGCTAGTCATTGCTGATAAACAAAGGAGTCCGCTCATACTGAACCTTGATCATAAGTTTATTCATATCACAAGCTTTCAGCATGAGTTACAGGTGTCAAGATCACCCGGAGAGCAACGTCCCAGATTGCAATGGCTGCTCTAACCTCTTCTTCCTCCAGCATATACTTATAAACAATGCAAAAACATGGGTTGCTCCCTCTGCTGTCCAATCACCTGTCTCCCCTGGGACGTCACCCTACAAATGGCTACTTTTGAACTAGAATAAACATTCTTTCAGTTCCACTTAAAACCCATTAACAAAGACATAATCCTAATACACTACAAAACGTAATCTGTGTCCTGGAAACCCGCCCATAGGCTTTCAGACAGAACACATCAATGAAACATTTCTGTTGTTTACAGTTTGTAATGTTTATGAAAATCTGAGTTAAGGGGAAACTTAAGGGGAAACGCCCCATTTTCACATATGTTGACTTTGGGGTGATGCTGGAGATAATGAATATGAAGTTGAATTTATTTTAAATTTCCCTTTAATTGTATGGTAAAACAGATAAAAACTTTGATTACTTGAATACATTTGACCTACACTCATATGTACCAGTGGAGGATGCTGAGGGGAGGATGGCTCATAATAATGGCAGAAGCAGAGTAAATGAAATGGCATCCAACACCTGGAAACCATGTGTTTGATGTATTTGATACCATTCCACTGATTCCACTCCAGTCATTACCACGGGCCTGTTATCCCCAATTAAGGTCCCACCAACCTCCTGTGATATGTACAGTATTTGGACAGAGAAGCATTTGTTTTTAAAATGTCCTCTATTTTGGATTTTGGATGAAGAAGCCCATATTTATTCTGAGCTTCTTAACTAACTCATCAATATGGTTTTTAAAAGACAGCTTTTCATCTATCCAGATGCACAGATATTTGTAAGCAGAGACACGATCAATGCATTTCAATGCAGACTTGCTATTGTTTCCAATCGCCACCACTTCAAATACATAATTTCTATTAAAACCAAAATGCTCTCTGTACAGGACTGAACAACTGCTCTACAGTGTATGTCTATATTCTTTAACACAATGTACAGGACTGAAGGACTGCACTACAGTGTATTTCTATCTTCTTTAACACAAAGCAATAGTGTTTTCTAAAGTATGAGCCTTAGCTCCCTATTACACTTCCAAACTGATGTGTTTTATCTTTGTCCTTCTAGTTTCAGCCTGAGTCTGAACCTGGTGTTCATAGCTGGATGTCTCCTGATGTGTTGAGTGGTGGTCTACTGTTCCCGGACATCAAAGGTCAAATATCTCTGACCTCCGACTTCTAAGGAGAGCTGTCCTTACATGGGACACTAAAAGTGGAATCGGAAATATGGCAATTATATCTATGGCAAGACATGCTGTCCACTTTGTTTTACTGTGGGAGAATGTTTATCACTTTAAAATAAATGTTGGGGGAAGAAAGTTTATCACTAAAATAAATGTTGGGGGGAGAAAGTTTATCACTTTAAAATAAATGTTGGGGGGAGAAAGTTTATCACTAAAATAAATGTTGGGGGGAGAAAGTTTATCACTAAAATAAATGTTGGAGGGAGAAAGTGTATCACTTTAAAATACATTTTTGGGGGAGAAAGTTTATCACTTTAAAATAAATGTAATGAATAAGCATTAATAAACTGTCAGTATTGTAAGTACAACGAATGAGTACCAAAGCATGAATCATGTATTAGCATTAGGCTACATGGGAACGTACTTTTCAACCCACTTTAGCTGTGTTTTAATTCATGCAGTATTATGCACGATATCTTTTGGGGAAAAACACTTGGTGACGTGTACTTCAATAAATGTTCCTTAAGGTTGGTCTCCTTTTCTTTGGTGGAAATTTACCTGAAAGCAAGTGGCCTCAAAGTACCACAAGATGGGCTGGCCCTTGGCTCTCACAGAAGGCTCCATCATGCAGGCCTCCTACCAGACTGAGTATGTCATGCATACAGTCACCGCTCACACAACGAGTAGCTGGGTTGGAATGTTGTCGTGACACACAAGCAGAGCATCTTACTGTCTCTCCTTCTGTCCCTCCTTCACTTCTCTCTCTCTCTCTCTCTCTCTCTCTCTCTTTCTTTCTCTTTCTCTCCCCATCTCTTTCTCTCCCCATCTCTTTCTCTCTCTCTCTCTCTCGCTTTCTCTCCCTCCCTCATTCCTTCCCTACCTCCTAGCGCAGTTGACTTCCGTCGGTCTAATCTGTCAATGTTATTTCTGAAGGAAGTCATTAGACCAATATTTGTCTATCATACTTATATTGGCCATATACCACAAACCCCTGAGGTGCCTTATTGCTATTATAAACGGGTTACCAATGTAATTAGAGCAGTAAAAATACATGTTTTGTCATACCCATGGTATACGGTCTGATATACCACGGCTGTCAGCCAATCAGTATTCAGAGCTCGAACCACCCAGTTTATAAAAGTTGTTATTTGTCTTTAGCGGATGTACCAAATTCAGTTGATGTAAATGTATTCCTTTATTGCCATTGTACCAGGTCGTTGGCTCCTCCTCAATCATTACATAGTGTTACGATGAAATCACAAGATTTGGCTAATATTTGATTCCACTCTACTAAGCTTTATAAGAGTAGAACGTTGAAGTTTCACAAATTCTCAATTGTATTTCGGAATATTTTGTGATTGTTTTAATTCCTTAGGGATTGTGGATTGGGTCTTCCTAATGGGGGGTTTCTAAAACCACATAAGTAGGCACCAGTGGAGGCTGCTGAGGGGAGGACGGCTCATAATAATGTTTTTCATGCATCTGGCCCCGTGTAGCTCAGTTGGTAGAGCATGGCGCTTGCAACACCAGGGTTGTGGGTTCGATTCCCACGGGGGGCCAGTATGAAAAAATAATGTATGCACTCACTAACTGTAAGTCGCTCTGGATAAGAGCGTCTGCTAAATGATGTAAATGTAATTCCATTCACGTCATTATTATGAGCCGTCCTCCCTTCAGTAGCCTCCACTGGTGGCACCCCTTGACTTTTTCTCAATTTTGTTGTGTTACAGCCTGAATTTAAAATTGATTAAATTGAGATTTTGTGTCACTGGCCTACACACAATACCCCATAATTTCAAAGTGTCATTATGTTTTTACAAATTAATAAAAAATGAAAAGCTGAAATGTCTTGAGTCAATAAGTATTCAACCCCTTTGTTATGGCAAGCCTAAATAAGTTAGGAGTAAAAATGTGCTTAACAAGTCACATATGTTGCATTGACTCACTCTGTGTGCAATAATAGTGCTTAACATGATTTTTGAATGACTACGTCATCTCTGTACCCGACACATACAATTATCTGTAAGGTCCCTCAGTCAAGTAGTGAATTTCAAACAGATTCATCCACAAATACCAAGGAGGTTTTCCAATGCCTCGCAAAGAAGGGCACCTATTGGTAGATACACATTTTTTCAAAAGTAGACATTAAAGATCCCTTTGAGCATGGTGAAGTTATTAATTACACTTTGGATGGCGTGTCAAATACATCAAACACATGGTTTGATGCCATTCCATTTGCTCCATTCCAGCCATTATTATGAGTCGTCCTCCCCTCAGCAGCCTCCACTGAGCTAAGCATTGGCAAAATCCTAGAGGAAAACCTGGAGTTGCTTACCAAGAAAACAATGAATGTTCCTCAGTGGCCGAGTTTCAGTTTTGACTTATATCTACTTGAAAATCTATGGCAAGACTTGAAAATGGTTGTCTAGCAATGATCAACAACCAATTTGACAGAGCTTGAAGAATAATGGGCAAATGTTGCACAATCCAGGTGTGGAAAGCTCTTAGGAGAGACTTACCCAGAAAGACTCAAAACAGTATTCTCTGCCAAAGGTGCTTCTACAAAGTATTGACTCAGGGGTGCGATATTTTTCCATTTCATTTTCAATAAATTGGCAAAAATATATAAAAACATGTTTTCATTGTGTGTAGATGGGTGAGACAAATGTCATCCATTTTGAATTCAGGCTGTAACACAAAATGGGGAATAAATCAAGGGGTATGAATACTTTCTGAAGGCACTGTATGTACTATCATGCCATAAAATAAAACAATAAAATGTTATTGCTGTAATACCTGGGAACTCCACATGGTGGCAGGCAGTACCCTGTGATTACAGAGCATACAGCACCTTGCACATTTTCAGCTTCCAGTCTGGCATTTTTTTCTTTCTTTTTTCCACTGATCAACATAATATACCACACCATTTACAAGTTAAATAAAATCACGAAATTGATCAACAAATTAATGATTGTATTGGATAAGAGTCAAAAATAAAATCTGGGAATTGATTAACAACTTAATGATTGTATTGGATAAGACTGTACAGACAACTGTACAGACGTCAATGTATTCTGGATCAGTAAAATAATCATTGGTCGCATCGTTTTATAAAAAAATGTTTAATGTATTTTCATTTCTCAAAATAACAAAAATGGCATTACATGCATGTTCAACACAAATATAAACCTACAAATCAAGCAAGACTTGAGACACGAGATCTGCATAAAACGATCATGATCCGTTAACCGGTGAGTCTTCATCCATATCCTCAGACTCTTCTTCCTCAGACTCTTGTTCTTCTTCTTCCTCCGCTTCTTCCTCCACCTCCTTGACATCTTCTACATCCTCCACCTTTCCTTGTACTTCCTCCACCTTTCCTTGTACTTCCTCCACCTTTCCTTGTACTTCCTCCACTACTTCCTTTTCCATCTCCTCCACTCCATTTCCTTCCTCCATCTGTATCTCTGGTTCCATTTGCACAACCCCGTTCTCCTCCTCTTCCTCCTCCTCCTCCACCACCATTTCCGGGGGGACTGCAACAAGAGAAATAAAGACAGGAAACAGTCAAAGAACCATACATGCAAACCCCTCTGCACCATAACGCTGTTTACTTCATCCATCGCTGACTCTACATTTAAATACTCAAGACAACGCAGGACATGACAGACACGGCATGTCCAAGGCATGTACTGTATGAGAAGATTTAGTCGCCTGTACAGACCTTGTCTGACGTCCCGCCCAGGGATCTGACCAGCCTGGAGCATCCCCTTCAACCTCTCCACCTCGGCCAGAGACGAGGCGTTAGCTATAGCATTCTGGGTAGGGCACAGAACAGATGTATAAGTTCATGCATATAGAACCATTACAGTAGATAGGCATTTTGGTTTCACATTTGTTTAGCTGAACAGACCCTTTTTGAAAGGACCATTAGAGTAGATTGCCAGTCCCCTTTTACATTCATTTGTTTAGCAGACCATAAATTGACCATTACAATTGTGAAAATTAAGTTAGGTCAGTGGAATGTTGGTATAGAAACTGAACTGTCCACACCATAGTGTGAAAACAATGCGGTAGATCTAATCTATGTGTTGCAATGAGTTCCAACACACAATCCATGGAATGGAAGCTAGCCAAAAGGAACAAACTGCACAGCGAGTGTACATTTTCTGGCGCTAAATAAATAAATGTTGAAGTGCCTTAATCGCTTCCACGTCAGCGGGAGACGGTCCCATCTTCTTCTTCTCAGGCTGCTGCACGGCAGCTCCGGGGGTGAACCTGAGAACGCAGACCAGCGGAGTTAGAGAACATGGAGGGGATGGGTGCTTCTCTAGCCTCTCAACCAGTGTAGTATCTCAGGTGTAGTATCTTTTCTTGGTGAGTCAAATAAACTGATACGACAGGAAATGCCAGAGACGGCGCTCCTAAGAAACACTGTTGCATGGGGGCACACAATTTTTTTTTTTTGGGGGGGGGGGGGGTTTACAGTAGTTGGTTTACAGTAGTTGGGTCACCACATATTTAAATACTCCAGTTCCTAAGCAACACCCCATCTACAAGAGTGATTGGTGGTGCAGCTAGTCTGATTCTAGAGTGTTCCGGTGATTTTCCCGACACCCCCACCAGCCAGTGTCCAGTGATTCTAAGGAGCTGCCGTCTGACTGGGACTTTCATCTTACGTTTTGGTCCGCTTGGCAATATCCTTTGCAAGCTGAGCACCTCGTTTGCCCTTGAACATTTTCTCCGCCTCCTGACGCTCCTATGGTAATACATCACAGTTAAAGTGAGAGCTTTTCCAATCATCAGACAACGAGACCTTCACGAGAAGGACTGGGATTGGCTGACTGACGTTTGGGAGAAACATACAAATACACCATTCTCTTAGCATGCCTAGGAAGACAGATATCTACTCCTATACATTTCCTTCTATTCTGCAGGCTTCTTTATCACTGCACTGCAAAGATGAAAAACTAGGGGCTTTGTAGGCCAAGTCCAACAGTATGTGATTGTATGCACTAACTAAAGGCCTACATCATTACATTTCATACAACCTGACTTGTGTTATAGACGACAACCCTTTGGTCCTGGTAATGACAACGCTTTTCTATAAAGCTACAACTCCTAGTTTCTGAACCATGGAATGCACTTACCTTTAACTTGACCTTCTGGAAGTCAAGCACGTGAATCTGGGGGATTTTGTTGATGACATAGAGCCTGTAGTGCTTCTTGTTGGTCACTGGATTCCTTAGGAGGCTGAGATATCACAAAAGCAGAGATTACGATTTTGACTCACAAAACACAGGATTTAGGTGCACAAATATAGCAACTCATCTTGTCCTGCAATTTACAGTGAAATTGATACCAACCTAATGCATAAATCTGACTTAACTAGGTGTTGTAGTAGAGGAAAGTATTGATCATTAGATACCTGAGAAGGGTCAATGTCTTCACTGAGGCTAGCGGATCCAAATCACCCTGGAGGTAAAAGCACATTTAAAAACATGACAACACAATAACAACAAATCGATGGTTCAACCACTGTGATTCAACACACACGCACACTCATGTCACAAATCTTGCTAAATTACAGCACAGGTAATATTTCTCAAATCAACAACATGCATAAGTAAAATGCTCCCAATCTGTAATCATTTAAAATGATCTGATCAGATAAGCTCTTGACGCATTCACTGATGGGATTGGTATGTGTGATAACTCACCAATTCCTGGATGTTGTTGCTTGTGAGGATCAGCTCCCTCATACTCGGCAGTGCCTGTTCAAGGTTTTCACCAACACGACTGTGGGGAGCACATTGTTTACAAAACAGTGATAGCTAGCTAGCTAGGAAGCTAACCTTAGCAGACAACACAGGTCACGTTAGCTAATTAAAACGAATTCTATCAATCCTAGACAACATACATTTGCTGCGAAAGTTACCATATTCTGTTGTTGTTCATGAGCAACGTTTTGAGCCTCTTGAGCAAAGGGAAGCCGTCCAATTTTCTGATTTCATTGTCAGAGAAATCGATGGTATCAAACTGGTCAAGTGTAGCCCCGAGGTTTTCAAGTACAGGAATTTTGTAACCTAAATGAGAGCAGAGCATAACAGCATACGGTTAGCCGGCTAGTTTGGGTGATGTAGCTAGTACTGCCTGCATAGTTAGCATAGTTACCGCTAGTAGTTAGCCAGTTAGCAAGCACTATATATCACTTATTACAGTGCGAAGGCCTAGCCAACCAGTTAGCTTTTCTCGTTAGCTAGCATGAAATGCGCAGGTTAAGATTTACCTCGCAGATCCAGCTCCCTGTCGCGCACGGGGTTTGTGTACTGAGCAGCCTGCTCAATTAGCTCTGCCGATAATTTTACCATATCGACGACTAACTGGGAAACAAAAAAATAGTTTATAAGCGGGTTTCTTGATTTCAAAAAATCCACAATCCTTACTATGCTTTTTCAACACGCTGCCGCCCGGAAGTAAGACTACTCCCATAATGCAACTCAGTGGAAAATAAATAACTCAAATTTCATCGCGCGCCCTCTAGCGCTGAGAACTCAGAGGTTCAATCAGTATGTCTGATTATGACTGATTATCATTCAAAGATAACTGTCACGGACTCACGGGGGTGACTATGTATTTTTCTAGAAGCTGCTCAGAACCTTATTCACTTGGTAAGTGTTTCACCACACCGAGATACATGCACACCTCTTTTACCCCTTCTTCTACAGTCAGTGCTATCTGGAATCCTTGGGAAGTCCCTACCCTAAACCCTAACCGTACCCTAACCCTAACCCTAACCTTAAACATTTAAAATGTAAACTTCAATGGGTTAGGGACCAAGGATCGCAGATAGAACGGACACTTCTTCTTGTAACTTTCTGGCAGGCTAGATACTTTCTGGCTTATTGCTGCCTTTCACAGGTCAGCGTAGGTATTATCCCACTGGTATTATCAGAGAGGAAGAGGCAAGATTATAATTGAGGTAAGTGGGATTGCACGGTCAAACTACGTCTCTTCATTTGGTTGAATTTTAGTCATTTAGCAGACGCTCTTATCCAGAGGGACTTACAGTAGTGAGTACCTACATTTTCATATTTCTTCCAACTGGCCCCCGTGGGAATCAAATCCACAACCCTGGGGTTGCAAGTGCCATGCTCTACTAACTGAGCCACACGAATATAAATAAGTGAGTGCAGTGATCTTTTGGTTTCTCAGTTAAGGCACCTTCTTTGAAAGTCACCTATGCATAACATGTTTCGAAATTACAATTAGATATCCTCTTTTGATACATAATGATAATTCCATTGAGCGTGTTATTTGCCCACAGCTAGGTTACTAATAGATCTTTCTCAGCTTCACCTGGCCAAAAACTTCAAAGGACGGTAAGCAGGGCAACTCATCCTCATCTTTTCTATAATTGGGAACAGTTTCCATTTTTTCCTTCTCAAATCATCTGATGTGGGGTCATCCTTTTATGGGTTATAAACTGGTGCCTTAACTCTGCAAATGTGTGCTTGTTGTCTTTTAAAGGAGTAGTTCAATAATATAACATGGGTTCCGCGGGTGTATCCAGTGACCTGCTAGGTCAGCATTAAAATGAAATAAATGATTTAATCTTGAAGGGTAAGGGGGGGGGGGGGGGGGGGTTATTTAAGGGATTTTCATACTTTTTCTAAAACTGTGTGTTGTGATTGAATGAATGTGTGTGGGACATTGATGCTGGAATATGTTGTGATGCAAAACAGTCGTTACAGATGAACATTAACATGTACAGTGCTAGAAAAAGTATTTGCCCCCTTTCTAATTTTCTCTACTTTTGCATATTTGTGATACTGAATGTTATCAGATCTTCAACCAAAACCTAATATTAGATAAAGGGAACATAAGTGAACAAATAACACAACAATTACAAATTTATTTCTTTGGTTCTTCCAAGAGTCTTGATGATTATCCAGGTGCTTTTTGGCAAACTTGAGTCAACTTTTTGGACGAGATGGGTCCCATTATGCCTGGCGAAAACCAAACACTGCATTCCACAGTAAGAACATCATACCAAAGGTCAAGCATGGTGTTGGTGGTGGTGTGATGGTTTGGGGATGCTTTGCTGCCTCAGGACCTGGATGACTTGCCTTAATAGAAGGAACAATGAATTCTGCTCTGTATCAGAGAATTCTACAGGAGAATGTCAGACCATCCGTCTGTGAGCTGAAGCTGAAGCGCAGCTGGGTCATGCAGCAAGACAATGATCCAAAACGCATAATCAAGTCTACATGAAAATAGCTAAAAAGCAACAAATTGAAAGTTTTGGAATGGCCTAGTCCCAATTGAGATGTTGTGGCAGGACTTGAAACGAGCAGTTCATGCTTGAAAACCCACACGTCACTGAGTTAAAGCAGTTATGCATGGAAGAGTGGGCCAAAATATTCAGTATCACAAATATGCAAAAGTAGAGAAAATTAGAAAGGGGGCAAATACTTTTTCATAGCACTGTACATTTCCATACTGTCTGTCTCTCTTGTTTGTGATACTGGGAATAACAGCCCCATTACAGTTCAGTTCATCGTAAAAGATTACTCATGCACACAGGACCTATGTGCACTTTCATTGCTGATGATTATTGTCAACATTTCTGTTGACTGTCTTGTCTTGATGGTTACTGACCGAAACGTCGGCAATAAATATGCAGAGGTAATTGTGCGTGTGGGTGTAGTTTTACAATGATGTGATACTGAACATACTAAACTGTTTTAACTTCGCTAAGCTATCTGCCTTTAGTCTCTCTGGGATCTCTCGCTCTCCCCCACAGGTATGAACTCACTCTATCCAGGCTGAAGACAACCATCTAGAGCAGGGGTGTCAAACTCCTTCCATGGAGGGCCTAGTGTCTGCTGGTTTTCCCATTTCAATTAAGACAACCAGGTGAGTTCCTTACTAATCAGTTACCTTAATTAATCAATCAAGTACAAGGGAAGAAGGAAAACCCACAGACACTCAGCCCTCCGTGGAATGAGTTTGACACGTGATCGACACGTGATCTAGAGGGAAGACCTTTACTCACCCAACAGCAGTAATGACGGCATGACTGTGTGAGAGAAGTCCTCATTAAAATAACTGCAGTGGATTCAGACACTATGAAGCTTTTCAACAAGACTGGAGGGACATGGAATCAGGCTCTTTCCACAGTATCTATTTTTATGCTCATTCCTCTCAGGGTCTGAAATGTGTAGTGATTCACACCAAAGGTGCAATACATTTGCCATTGTTGGTTGTCATTTTCCTGAACCAAATATATTAAACTTTTACAAGTTGCCCAGTTGAAATTTTTGCCTTAAATTGAAATAATTGAAATAATAAAAAATCGAAGATGTCTTGATAGCATTAGTATTTCTGTACCACATCTAAATTAGTTCAGGTGCAAACATTTGTTTAAACTGAATGGAGTCCATCTCTGTACAATAACAGCAGTTCACATGAGTTCACACTAAATACCCCTGTCTTTGCCAGGTCCCTCAACACATTTTAAAAAATGGGGGAAAACAGCATGTTAATGCAATATATTTATTTTCACTTTATTTTTACATTTATTGTAGGCCAACAGAGAATCATTATCACACGATTTAGCAGAACAGACTAATTCACTATTCATTAACCGAAAGGTTTTTAATCCCAATATATATGCATACAACAAGGTAAAGACCATGGTTTATGACCCACTTTGCAAGAATTGTGTTCTCTGAGAACAGCCAAAGGTGATTACTTTCTTAAAGTGAACTTTCACAAAACCTGATGACTTACTGTTCAAGTGAAAACACTAAGGGCTGGTTTCCCAGATAGAGATTAAGCCTAGTCCTGGACAAAAAAAAAACATGCTCAATGGAGAATCTCCATTTAAATAGCCTTTTAGTCTAGGATTTTACTTAATCTGTGCTGTCTGGGAAACCCTGTATTAGACATTCAAACAAAGTGGACATGAAATCAGTGAAAATCACAAAACCTAGGCTCAAATTGTTACTATCTAAACATTTTGAGTTTGATTTGAATGATTATTCCAATATAGAGCATGTCACAAGTAAAAAAAAAAAAGAAGCATTTTAATTATAAAGCAGATCCCACTGGGCACAGACGTCAGTTAAGTGTTTAGTTTTACATTTGGTTGAGTTGTTAACTAACCGTGAAATCAACAACAAATGACACCATGTCATTGGATTTAGGTTAAAAGTAGGGTGAAAAAGTTTTTTGGGGTTGAAATGACGTGGAAACAACGTTGATTCAACCAGCTTTTGCCCAGTGGGATTTTGGTTTCGAATATTACAATTCAGCTACACCTCATAAATTACAGTTAAACAAATTACATGTTGAGATTTCTTTATTATGTATCGGTATGATAAAAAAGTAGTAAAAGATAGATAGAATTTATTGGCCAAATCGTCTACCCCTACTTGAAAGTGATCAAGTACTCAGGATATGCCTGACTGTCATGGAAAATGATGAACATGGATGGTGGAGACACACCATCTGTGACACTGTCAAAGAGCTGAATAGTTGTGGTGTCTTTAGATGGAGGTACATTCATTCCCTGTTTTCCTGTTGTGAAATCTCCAGTCAGAACTCGACATAGGTACATGTACTTCTGCCCTTGGGGATCCGGTTTTGAGTATGTGTCATTGGCAGAGTAATTTGCATTGACAGCAAAGTAGGTGCCGTCTCCATGCAATGCAGCTGCAAAAAATATTTTGGAATAGTTATGAAATTCTCTAAACCTTTAAATCATTGCAGACTCTAGAGTACTGCCTCGTACAAATAGAATGCTTAAAAGCAGGAGAAAGCTCATTGCATTTCAATAGAAATGTGCAAAAACATCATGCCAATAGCTAGATCAGAATCATAAAGTTGGATAAAGGGTGCACTTGGTCCAAAGCCTGTTTCAGCATAGTCCCACCCAGAAGTAGCCAATAAATTACACTCCTGAGCAAATATTCCATAAGTGCAGGTGCCAGACAGTAAATCACCAAACTTGGCTTTATACCTTTTAAGACTTTACAGTCCAGCACAGTGGTGGTATGCACCTTTTTTCAGTTTATTTATGAACAGACAATACTTTAAAATGGAATTAGCCCTCAATGGCGCTGCCCATGCTGTCACAGAAGCGGCCATTGCCAAGATAGGAGATGAGCTCTCTAGTAGAGCTCTATGATCGGAATGCAATAATTCAGACACAAGAAAGTATGAGAATTCAAACATTAAAACAGAAATAAACCTCAAATTGTTGGCTTTTGTCACGCCCTGATCTGTTTCCCCTGTCTTTGTGCTTGTCTCCACCCCCCCACCAGGTGTCTCCCATCTTCCCCCATTATCCCCTGTGTATTTATACCTGGGTTTTCTGTTTGTATGTTGCCTGTTCGTCTTGTCTCGTCAACCAGCGTGTTTTTCCATACTACTGTTTTCTCTAGTGCCTGTTTTCTAGTCCTCCTGGTTCCGACCATTTCTGCCTGCCCTGATCCTGACCCCGCCTGCCATACCATTCTGCCTGCCCTGACCCCGACCCCGCCTGCCAGACCATTCTGCCTGCCCTGACCCCGAGCCTGTCTGCCATACCATTCTGCCTGCCCTGACCCTGACCCCGCCTGCCATACCATTCTGCCTGCCCTGACCCCGAGCCTGTCTGCCATCCTGTACCTATCTGACTCTGACCTGGTTTACAAACTTCTGCCTGCCCTGACCCGCCCTTTGTCTGCCTCCTGTGGTTTAATAAACTACTCTGTGTATTGAACCTTCCGTCTCCTGTGTCTGCATCTGGGTCATATCCTGAGTCGTGTTAGCTTTTCTCTTTTGGTGTTGGCCATTACTTACCATTCTTCCCAGCGTAGCTCCGATTGAAGCCAAGCTCGTTAATCTTATCTATGGTTGTGTGGCAGGCTCCATGGAAGAGCTTCCTCTCATTGTTCTGGTGACGGTTCCTGACCTCCATGTCTTTCTTCTTGATCTTAAAGGCCCCCCATAGGCTTGGGTTCTGGATCCTCTCAATCTGAGTGAAGAACAACCTTGCATTACACATTAATTGGCTAGCTAGACTGTGATAAAGATCTTTCACTACCATAAAGAGGTCCCAGAATCCCTAATATAATGTTGTTAAGCTGTGATGCTTGAACCTATCTAGTTCAATTAAATTGAAAAGGTTATTGTACTTTATCAACCCATTCCTGAGTATGTACAAACCATTCCATTCTCCAGACCCAACCATGACATCTCAACAGACTTGTACAAGATAGTTGTACAATAAATAAATATACATGTAACTACTAGGGAAAATAGGAGAAGAGAGACCTTTAGAACATTCTTCTTGCAAGTATCCTCAAAAAGTTTAAGGACATCAATATGCTCTTGGGTTTCAGGTTGAGTGGGGATTGACAGACATGAAGTGTTGTCTGGCATTTCATCCCAGTGCTGGGGTAAATCTTTAAAAGCCTCTTCTGGCCGGACCTTTTTTAGCATCTCATGGATCTCATTGGAAGCCTTGAGCACGTCTTTGCTGAGGCCCTCTACAGTGAGTTTGGCCTCCTTCTGGGAAGAGTTGTGTAGACTAATTCTCACGTCCATGGCGGTCTGCATGTCAAAGATGTGCTGCAGGTCCAATTCTGATAGGCTGAAGAGGGCTTTGTCAATGATGAGGATGGAGTCTTGCTCTTTCACAATCAGGCCCTTGATCACTTGCTTGGCGTTGTCTACGTGGGCCTGCGACACACCGCAGATGTGAAAGCAAGCAGGATCCATGTCATGGCTCTCAATTTCCATGACTTCATTCTGTTGTGCATTATCAACTTTACTACCGGTAACGAATGCTGTAAGAATATGTAGATAACTTAATTACAGTATATTACATCCAATCGTCTTTACAGCTCTAAATGACAGTAAATATTACTATTAAGTACAATGGTAAACATGACTTTATTTTCCATAAATGATGTACTGTAGATCAAAGTTTAGAAAATAAAGTAGCTCATACATATAAACTTTTGGAAGAAGCCCTCCTTTTCCTGAACGTCAGTGCCTTTCTTTTTAAGCATACTTGTGTGGAAATCAGTAAGCATGGCAGGCTGAAAGATGACCATTCGGACAAGCTTCAGGGAGTTCTGGGACTTCTTGCCCACCACTTCCACAACAGCATCCAACATGGCGTCTGCCACTTCACTCGGCTGTATGTTGCCTTGGCCTTGAATGACAGGACACTTTAGTTGGCACACATTGCAAATAAGGATTTGAGATTGAACAATCTTAACAGCTTTATGTCTACTGTAAAGTTTGTCATTGACTAATGTATAAAGACTAAAGTCTCCTTTCAGTAACTCACATTCTCTTTCCCTCTGTTTTCGTAACTTACCCGTGCCAATAGCAGGTAAAGATATGGATGTGAAGTTATTCTTTGCACACATTTTGAGTGCACCTTCGACAGACTGTTGGATATTCTTAGTGTCTGTCTGGGTAACCAGGTGGATGATCTTCTTACACTGCAGGTTGCCTGGCTTTGTCATTATCATGCCTTTGTTAGGCTGGGCTCCTGAAAATATACATTGTAGATTTTATTGTAAAAAACTGAGCAAATCGATAATTTCCTGCTTATTTCATGTTTATTGAATAGGACAGTGAAAGACTGACAAGAAAATTAGGTGAAGATAGTGTACTAGAATAGCAATGGATTGAAATTTGCTTAAATCTCATGCACTAATGAACTCTTTCTGGATAAGAGTGTCTGCTAAATGACAAAAGTGTAAATGTAATGTAATGATTAGCATTATAGGCTAACATGAATCCTGGTTTGTTTCAAGGCAACAGTATGAGTCATAATAACCATAAATCCTAGCAGTCAAACAGGGAAATGGTTCCAATCGTTTTTCCACCATTCATTTTTATCTTAGTTTTTTTGTAGAAACATTTAAAATAAGGGCTGTGTTTCGTGTAGGCTTACCCTGGCGTGACGTTTCGATAACTGTGTAAATCTCTCTAGGACAAGGTTACTTTTATCAATATATTCGCCTATATTTACCCCCCAAAAATGAAATGCTAATTAGCTGCTAATTTGGCTGTCATAAAAACTACAAATGCCATTATGATCTGGACAAAACTGCCGAATCAAAGGTAAGAATCTCTGGATTAACAATCTAATGTTAGATAAATGTAGTAATTAATAAATAGGCAAACGTTCTTTAAATTGACAATTCTGTGAACTGTCTTGTGCAAGTTTTAAATTGACACAATACCTGTTAGCAAAGGTGTCAGCTAGAGTTGACATGCACGATCTTGCAGGGATTTGTAGTCTTCTATGATTTCTACTTTGACGCTAATTGGAAGTTTCGAACATGAGAGTAAATAAAGCCAAATAAATTCATAAAAGTTACCTCGTCCGAGAGAGATTTACATGGTTATCAAAACGTCACCCCAGGGTAAGCCTACATGAAACACAGCCCTTATTTTAAGTGTTTCTAAAATCCTCTATGGGAAAATTGAATGGTGGAAAAACTATTGGCACCATTTCCCTGTTTGACCGCTAGGTTTTATGGATATTATGACACCTCCACTGTGGGACTCTATTAGCTTAAATTGTAACACAGAGTTTAAAACCAAAGTTCAAGCGGCCAATACTTCCAGGGATGCACACGAACAGTGGCGTGTATTCATGGATGCTAAGGGAATAAATAATATAAATAATAGCCAATCAGTGTTGAGCTAAGCTCAGTGAGCTCAGCTGTGAATGGTCCTGGCACACCAAAAAAAGGTATCAAAGGGAAGCCATTTTGGATTTGGCGTCAGACTAATCACATCACAGGCCAAATGTCATCATTGACATTAAAAAAACTTGAATTGTTGCATCTCGTTGTGTTGCTGTCCTCCGGTGGCTAGATAGCTAGCCAACTTCGTCCCTTTCTTAAATTAACCATGGATGGAGATAGGGATTTTGACTTGTGGTTTTACTTAATTCTCCGTACTGGCCAATGATGATAACGGTGATTCTGATCCAACCATAAATGCATACATTGTGCCCCTGGCCTGAGAGGATGGAAGTTTAACATGTAACTAGATGTAGTATGCTAATGTTAACTAGCTAGCCTAGCGCATCGTTGCCCATGAAAGGAAGTTAGGCTAGCAAGCAAAGTATTTTAGCCAGTTAGCCTAGATTAACAAAAACTAAAAGCGTGTACCGTATGACAGAGTCACAGACTGTTTAGGCAACATGACAAAGGAGGGATGGCATTGGCATTTCTCTACAAGTAGGGTGAGTCAACATGTTTTTTCTGCTTGCACGCACGCACACACGCACCATTTACACAGGAATCAGTCCCATGGACAGCCACCATATTTAGCTTACGTTGATTGGACTAAATAGTTTTTGGTATCTTTTAGTTGTCTTTTAGTTGTCACTGTATTCTTATTGTCTCGACCTTAGGCCTATATATCTACTACAAGACCATGGTGCTTGCCTACGGAGCTGTGAGGGGAACGGCACCTCCTTACCTTCAGGCTCTGATCAGACCCTACACCCAAACGAGGGCACTACGTTCATCCACCTCTGGCCTGCTAGCTCCCCTACCTATACGGAAGCACAGTTCCCGCTCAGCCCAGTCAAAGCTATTCGCTGCTCTGGCACCCCAATGGTGGAACAAGCTCCCCCACGACGCCAGGACAGCGGAGTCACTGACCACCTTCCAGAGACACTTGAAACCCTACCTCTTTAAGGAATACCTGGAATAGTATAAAGTAATCCTTCTTCCCCCAACCCCCATAAAAAAATAAAAAAATTAAAAAGGTGGTTGTCCCACTGGCTTTCATAAGTTGAATGCACCAATTTCTAAGTCGCTCTGGATAAGAGCGTCTGCTAAATGATGTAAATGTAAATGTCGCAAGGGATATGAACGAACATGTTATTGAGCAAACAACGCAATTATTACATCACATACAGTGTAGTTTGTCATATGTTTTTTTTTCTGGATAGTTTTTTTCTGGATTGGCTGATTTGACCCATGCACCGCTATTACACGCGAAGCAGACCAAACAGACCAGACCGGGGTTTCAATGGGAGAGTGAAAATAATCTTCCTTAGTTGTGAATTTACTCGAAACCTAAATGCACAACCTAGATTTGAGCCAATGCATTAAGTAGCTGAACATGTCATGACTGCGGTGGATGCTGATTAGAAGTGATATGGAATGAGTCGGATACCACGGGAGGGTAGGCAGCCCTGTAAGCGTGGTATCTGTTTTGGCAGCATGGCTTCTTCAGCGAAAAGACGAGCAGTTGGAATGGGAGAAAATCCTGCTGAAAGTGAGGATAACAGCTCGGATGAGGGATCGGAAGACGATGGTGATTCAGAAGAGAAGGACAGCGGATCAGAAGAGGAAAGCAATGAAGAGGTCATTGTGGACTGTGAGGCCGGAAGGGAAAGGAGGGGGAAAATTGAGTCCTTTGAGAAGGCAAGAAACAGAAGAAATGCAGTATTATCATAAGGAGACGTATACTTGGATGAATGAGGAGGAATGGAGGGGAAAAGAGAGGCAGAGGAGGTCTAAGAGAGAGAGGGAGGAAGACTGAGTTTGAGTCTGTAAAAAATGGCGGGAAAAAGGGATAAGGTTTGTTAAAGAAGAGTGGTAGGAAATGTAAGCAAAGTGAGCTGAAGACAGGTGGTAGGTGTGTTGAAGTGCTCGGACAGGTGGTAGGTGTGTTGAGGCTTGCGCAGAGGGTCAGGATAAAGATGAGTCTGTGACAGTAGGAGTGAAGTTTGTGGAAAAAGTGGATCCTTGCCTTTTGGCTGATCCATTTGTGGTTTCAAGATGGATGAAAAAAGCGTTGGGTATAGTGGAATCGGTGAGGGTAACCAGAAGTGGTCTAGTGAGAATTGTTTGTGTTTCTGTTGGTCAGAGGGAGAAGGTGCTCAGAGTTAAACAAATGGGGGAAAGAAATGTGAATTGTTTCGCTCTTAGAAAAGGGCGCCATTGAGAGGAGTGATTACTGGGGTAGCAGTAAATATAAAAGTGGATCAACTGAAGGAGATGATTCCCGGTGTGTGTGATGCTCGTCGTTTGGTGCGACGTAAACAGGGTGGCGAGAGTGGGGAAACAGAAGAGTCATTGTCTGTTCTTTTGAGTTTTGAAGTTGAGTCTTTGCCTGATAAAGTGAAGTTAGGATATAGAAGTTATCCTGTGCGAGCTTATGTGCCGAGTACATTACGATGTTACAGGTGCAGCAGTATGTAGGAGGGAGATTCCAAGGTGTGAGAAGTGTGCAGAAGGGCATGAGACTAAGGAGTGTGAAGCAGTGGGGAAAGTGGTGGTATGTGCTAATTGTAGGGGTGGCCATGGGGCTGGGGATCAGACATGTCCAGTGCGAAAGAAGCAGGTTGAGGTTTCCAGGGTAAGAGTAGAGAAGAAGTTGTCATATGCGGAGGCAGTGAAGAAAGTAGAGGAAGAGGGGTCAAGGGGGGGGGGGGGGGGAGTGGTGAGAGTAGTAGATATGTACCAGTACAGTGGGATAGGCAAGCAAGTGATATATGTTTCAGTAAGATTGTTTTTTTTTGCGTTTATAGCAATGGTTATTAATTGTACTGCAGGGATGGAACGCAAATCGAAGAAAATTGAGGTTGTGGTGGCAGCTCCAGAGAGATATTTGGGTGTGCGAGACATGACAGCAGAAGAGTTACAGGGAGTGTTAAGTGGTGATGTGCCATCATTTCAGGTTGAGGGCATGAGGTAGGAGTGAGTACATTTAAATAGTGGAGAAGGGTGGGGTTAATTATTAGTAGTAGTTTTGAAGTTGTGAGTGTAGTGTTACATGGTAGGATATTTCTTTGCTTTGTTTTATTTTATTTTTCAAGGAAAGATAAGGGAGTTGTACTCCAGTGTAGTAGGTGGCGGTAATGCAACAAATTGGATGCCAACCGCCGTTAAACCTCATTGAAGAAGAAGAAGACAATTGGCGTGGCAGTTCATGGAACTGTTCTTGTTCACTCTCTTTGGTTGTAATGTACAAGTTATCAATCTAGCTAGATTAGCTGTTTATGCCAGCTATCCATTTTAGAAGCTAATGTTAGCAAGCTTCTCACAGTAAACGCCACCGACACTGTTTGTAGCATAATTAAGGTTTCATGATAGTTTTAATACAAAACATGGTTTTGGTTTGTAGCTGTTCCTAGTCGTTTGTTTGAATGAGGAAGTCCGACGCGCTACCAAAACCACTCTGCTCGTGATTCACTCGAAATGTATCACCCAACTGGGAGCGGGCAGAGCTAAACATTGCGTTTGATTGCCTGATTGTGTGAAGACGGAGCATTACATTTACATTTACGTAATTTAGCAGACGCTCTTTTCCAGAGCGACTTACAAATAGGTGCATTAGACAGCTAGCTAGGCCACCCCAGGCCATGTGAATCTGCTTCCTAAAGCAGAGTTAATGTTGTTTACCACTGGAAAACCAGGAGGAGTAAAATACCCAGATGAAAGAGAAGTATAGTGTAATCCTGTGATTGTCATATCTTGTGTTATGATGTCAGGGGTAGAGGCTCTTACCGAGTTGTTGGCATTCAGTCTCCACAGTCGGACCAGCCGCGTCCAGAATGGCTTTAGACACCCCTGGAGTGGTGTACAGTAGGGATATTTCATTTTTATTTTAAAATATGCCTGGTTAAAGCTAGCTCAATGGGTTAATACAATATTCAGTCGCGAAGACATGTCAGGTTTGATGCTCTTATCAGTTATATGACAATATTTTTTTATCCAAAACTAACCCATATGTACCTTTTTGTTTACTATTATTTGCTACGTTTCCAAGTGTATGATCTTAAATAGAGGTAAGAGTACCTGACTTGAGGCTGAAGGAGGAGTTGGAGGAGTTGACAATGACGTCCGTAGTCTCTTTGGTAATGTCCCCTGTGACGGCCTGTACAACCACTCCTGCAATCTTTATCTCATACATTGCTGAGCTTGAGGAAGAATCTAGCAGTTGAGAATGAAAAGTCAAGCTATGGACCATCAAAATGATGGGAGTGTCCTGGCAGTAATAGAAACTTGCAAAGACAGCATGAAACACAGAGTATGTGGGAATAACCATCAGAAATGATGGTGGCTGAATAACTATCAACTAGGATACATTTCTCCTGGTTAGGTCACTAGGTCAAGAAACACTCTGGGCCTAATTTATTATAGTTCAGGTCACCATAATTATGAAACAACATTAACATTAAAGGATGTCTTCACTTATTTAAACTTACCTTTCTTTTTCCACTTACCCTGAAAGTAGTCCGTCATCCACAGAGAAACTGTCATACACGGTTCGGATTTGTTTAAATAGCCACTGCTAACTTGGGTTAACACTGCTATACAAAAGGGGGCAAGCTCAACATGTTCAAATTTGATGACCAAATTCAGATTACATCAAATAAAATAAATTACTTTTTTGGACACACATGACTGACTCTGGTTGTTTTTTGGTTAGCAGTGGCTAATGTTAGCAGTGGCTTTTGAAACAAATCCGAAATGCTGATGTCTCTCCTGGACCGTGAACTACCCACTGGGCACACTATGTCATTTCAATGTGGACAATTGGGTAATATTTGGTTGAGATGTTGATAAATGACATTACAACCCACAGTATATTCACCCACTCAAAAAGACCGCTAAATGTTTGTTGAATTCCCAAATGTGTTATCACTGTGCTTTCAACCATTTACAAGCACAACAAAGTTCAAATTGGAAAACAATGCCAGATATTTTGTTTATTTATACAACAATTGAATGTGTTATCACTGTACTTCATCTGATAGCCAAATTAACTGAATTGCAGTTGAGGTTACATGATGCAAGTGGTGGTGAATGCTGTTTGAGATTCTGCACAGATTATTATAGCAATTGTGAAGATCTCCACAGACCTGCCACCTTTGCATGCTGTCCTGAACATACACGCTGTCTAAGAACTTTGTAGTTAAAGTAACCCCAAATTGTGGCCATGGATGTTTTACTCATTTTAAGGTTGAATAAATACTGTTACATGTTTGGAAGATAATCTTCAGGCCATTTACTGTATCATAAAATTAATATTGAGTTGTCTACACAAACAAATATCAACGTTTGAAGGAAATGTATCTACTTATTGGATAGTTCCATCTGGCTTAGTCCTATTCTTTAACTTCGATTTTTAGTTGAGTTGGAGACGTGAATCCCATATTATTTGTTAACTTGTCGACGAGTTAATAGGCTATTTACTGTATTACAAAAGTGGTATTGAATTGTGTTTGGTTGTCAACACAACCAAATATCAACATTTGAAGGAGATGTACCTACCGCTTGGATAGTTCCATCTGTACAACTGGCTTAGTCCTATTCTTTAACTTAGATTTTTGGTTAAGATGGTGTTGGGAATCTAACATATAAATGATTACCTTTTAGACAAACTGTAGATTAAGTTGAAAATCAACCAAAGCTTGAAACCTTAGGCCTATACATGTAAGTATTGCCAATTTTTTGTTGAATCCTGGGTTAAATTGAAACAATAGCTGTTGGTGACTTTTCACACAGTAGACTAAGCATCAAATCAGACTATAGCAAATGCTATGTAGGCCTAAATAGTATAATTGATAAATATGATTATATTGATGTGGTAAATTTGCTCTGTTTTCGACATCCGCACAGAATCGTCATTTTATTCATCAAAATCCATCTGAAGCTAGAGACTTCCGGGGTTTTACATAAGCTGCGTCTCAATCCACCGCATCCGCCAATGTCGGACTTCCACATCTGTGGTGGAAGGCGGCTGAGGTATAGCGCTGTTTGTCAGACCAGGGGTCGTGTCCACAAAGCGTCTCAGAGTAGAAAATTGGTGGTAAGTGCTGAGAATAGAGACATTTTTCTACTACTCTTATGGGTAAAAATAAAAGCTATGCATGAATCCTCTTTAGGCACAAGAGTCCCACTTAGTTGACAGATATTTAGGAGGTCTCATGAGCTATCCTAACCAGTTAACAGTTACCAGCAGGTGTCTTCATAATAGAAAAAGGAAGTGAATCAGAGGTTCCTGCGCCATAGACAGAAAATTGCTTTGGAGTTGTTGAAAAAATGTTTTGATATTCCTATATGATCAACCCATAAATAATCTAGGCCTACATGAAACATAATTATTTCACATGAGGCCAAATTCACATGATATGCCTAAATACATATAACCACTAGGCTAATACTGTGTATAATCACATTTTTATTTCGATTATTTCATTAATGTACATCATGTTATTTCAAGTTATCCCTTTAGAGCGCACGTTGTTAAAAAAAAGTTGCCTATAAATTGGGAAATTGAAAGCATAGGGCCTATGTTAACTTTTATTGTGTTCGGTGAAAATGATAGACCTTTCAAATGTTTTATGCGACATTATCGGCAAGTGACTTTATGCTTAGCCTACTGGGCCAAAGCGATTTAGAGTTGTTCAACAGGATTGACGAGTGTGTTGATATAAAGGTAATATTATAAAAATTCCACTTTTAACATACCAGCACACTGTATGATTCAGTGCAATACGCCTATCACATTATTCAAAATATTAGAATTGGTTAAAAGAAGAAAAAGTTAGGCATGCCAACATATTAGGCAAGATTTAAGAATAGGCAAAGTGATCATGTCAGGCGAAAATTATATAAAACGTTTTACAATTGCAGTCACTTTCACCATGGTTATCTGAAGCGTGCTATAGAATTCATAGCTGGCAATGCCTCATTGCGATTGGTTAATGAGCATCATCACTATCTTTTCTTTGCGGTACCTCAAACTGTCATGATTACCAGCTGAGATAAACTTTTATGAGTTGATTTTATTCCTGACACAGAGTTTGTCTGAGCAGTGTCTCAACATCATCCTAAAACGACGCTTTGCGGATACAGCCTCTGGAGTAATCCCGAAAACCAGCCTTCTCACAAAAACGTCTGTAAAGTCCAAGTGGTTTGAGCTACAAACGAATATGACCCCACTATGGAAAGCTGAGACTCTCACGAACACTGACATGTTGCCGAAAAATGTTAATATTGGTACAAGGACTTGAATGAGATTTGTGACACAAATGCTAAAATGTTAGCATTTGGAAACAGTGCCAGGGAAGCTAAACCAAAACATGGATTGCTGTCATACTGTAGTATCTGAAGATTCTATGACTTTGGCTGAGGTTTGCATATCTATTTGCAGTGCAAAGATGGATTCAAACCCTATGAAAGAGGAGATGTTGCAACAAGTTCCAGAAGGTTTGTGGTCTCAACATAGTACCGATATTGGACTTCGACAAGGAACCAGACCTCCTTGGAAGAATCAGTATCCATTGAAAGATGAAGCAATCCAAGGGATCGAACCACAAATTGAAGGATTTTGTTATCGTGTGGGAGATAAATTGTGTGCTGGCTATGCTGTAGTTAAAGCTCATGGAACTGGATCTGTTGTTGAAAAGGCTGAAGTAATACCACAGTCTGCGTCTGCACAATTTGCTGAACTTGTGGGGCTAACAGAAGAGTGTTTGTTAGCAGAAGGAAAGCGAGTGACGATATGTACTGATTCAGCATATGCACATAGTGTATGTCATTTGTTTGGAGCAGTGTGGAAAGGTCGAGGGTTTAAGAAAACGGATGGTTCTCCGATACAACATCATGAGCAAATAATGAAACTGTTGAATGCTATGATGAAACCTAAAGAGATAGCGATAGCTAAGTGTGCATCTTATAAAATAGATGTGTCAAGAGTCACACAAGGAAACAAAGGAGTGGATAAATTGGGCAAAGTTTTTCTGGTCACTCATGGAGTTGACTTGGAAGATAAAATTACGCTTAGGGATGTGATTTTAATGCAGGAAGCTGCTTCTACGATTGATAAATAGTTATGGCTAGACCGAGGTGCCGTCAAAGATACTACTGGTCTTTGGAGAAACCATGAGGGGTTGATAGTAGCGCCTCTAGACCTATTAGGTCTGATGATTCAGGAAGCACATGGGTTAGCTAATGTTGCAAGGGGGGAGGTTAGGAGAAAGATCACAAAGAAGTATGGTTTTTGGGTACCATATTTGCTTGAATAGGTTGACTATGTTATAGGTAGGTGCACAATCTGTCTGAAAAATAATGATGGCAGGAGGCCTGTCCGACTAAGTGAAAAGATGCTCAGTCGGTTGCAAAGTTCTTGTGTAAAGAAGTCATAAGCAGGTGGGGACTTCCCGATCGAATATCCTCAAATAATGGGAAAGAGCTTTGTGAATAAATCAGTGAAATTGATTTAGCAAAAATTGGGGAAAAAGTCAGACCAAAAAGTTAGGAAAACTAGGGTTGAAGTAACTCTAGGAAATTTGGAATATCTGATTGTGTGATAAATTTTTACTTTTTTTTGCATATTGTTGTGATATTTAGTGTTTTCTTATGAATCAAAGGGGGGAAATGGAATGTGATTCATTTTTATATATCATTTATATATCATTTTATATTATTTTGATATTGATGTTTTAATTTTCATGTGTTGCTTTGAAAAAGATACTGGTTGGTATTTTCTTTTCTTCCAGGAGCATAGGGGAATGTGTAGATTGGGATTCAAAGACTCAAACATGGACAATATGAATGGACTGGAGGAAGTTGAACAAGGATGGTGTGGAAATGTTCAGATTCCATCATCGACGTTCCATTGAAAGTCGACACTGCGGAGGAGCTGCAGTGTAGTGGACTACATTCCAGTGTTATATTCTTTCTGTGTTCATTTTTTGAAGAATGATGTTTTATGTTGTTGGGTACATGTGGGAACCTCAGATGTTTTTGTTTTTTTCGTTGAAGCTTAGGGATATTGGGTCTAGGCAGGGACAGAGAGAATCCACAGTAGGGTCCGATGGGTCGACCAGCCTGAATGTGGACATTTTTGATTGTATTTTGTTTTTTGAGGCTTTCATGTGTATTCAATTGCATCATAGTTTA